GGGCTGAGCTCCACGCCATACTGGGGCTCCTCGCCTGGCAGGAGCGGGGGGCTCGGCTCCAAACCCCTTCCCAGCGAGGAGAGCGGGGGCCTGAAGTCCAGGAGCCATTGGGGCACAGTGGGAGCTGGGGGCCAGAGCTCCCGGGACCCCTGGGACACGGCGGGGGAGAGGAAGGGGCTCTCCTCCAACAGCTGGTGGAGGCGGGGAAGTGAGGTGACCCCCAGCACCCAGTGGGGCTCCTCGGCGGCCCCCGGGGGGCTCAGTCAGCTGTTCAGGAGGGGGAAGGAGGACCTGACTTCCAGCGCTGGCAAGGAGGCAGAGAGGGATGCGAGCGCTGGCGGCCGGGCCGGGGGGCTGATCCGGCGCTTCCCGTGGCGGGCGTCCAGCGATGGGGGGTACGGAGTGACCCCCCGCACTGCCCTGCTCCGCTCAGCCCCCCGGCAGCAGCCCGAGGGGAAGGGAAAAGGCCTGGAATACTACCTCTCCCACTTCCTCTGCCTCGCCAGCGTAGTGCTGCTCCTCATTTTTCTGGGCATCCTCGTGGTGAAGATGGTTGGGTCAGGCTGGCTGGACAGGAGAGACGAGAGCTGTACGTGCACGGGTTTAATTCTGATTTAAACTCTATTCCTCACCTCCTTCCTGCTTTACCTTTATTGCTTCTGTCACCGTCATATTTATCATTCTCATTGCTCTAACCTGACATCTCTGTGTCTGTCCCCGTTTCCATCTCCCCTTGCCCATGGGAAACCTCAGTCATGGAAAGCAAGTCAAGTGGGTGATTTTTCCAAATGAGCTTGGCCTTCAGTTCCTCAGAACCGTGGGTTTTATGGGGAGTGCCATTCCTGCTAGGCCAAGGATGGATTTTATGGATTCCTGCTAGGCCAAGGATGGAGAACACAATGTCTCTGTAACACCCAGTGTGTGCTTTCAGTGTTCCCTCTGCTGGCTCAGCCCTTCCCAACCTTTATCCTGGGCAGGGGAAGTGCAGCAAACGAATTGGGCACTTAAAATGTGACAGAGCTTCCATGAGAAATGGAAAGGGGCTTCCCCACACCTGATTTTAAAAAAGCCTGTGCCTCAAGGAGGTTTGATTTCTCTCCCAGATACTTGAGGTGACTGTGGTGGGCAGCGAGTGGCATCACTGGAGTGTAAAGATCAGTGGGAAGGGGTGTGAAGCATCTCCTCAAACAGGAGCTGTTAGAGCATCCAGCCCCAGTTTTTACTTCCCAGCTGACCAGATTCATCACTGGCACCTTTTTATTTGTTTTTCTCCAGTGCTGCTCCCAGAGCAGCTCCTGAACAGGCCATTTGCATTGCAAGGTGCTGCCCGAGGGAGATTAACAACAGCAGCATCAGGCTTTAAAGCAGAACCTCCTTTTAAAAGATAATTACTCTCTTGATCAAAGCTCTTACTTGCAGCCAGCTAACTCACCCTCTTCTCTCTCGTAGTTAATCTCTTGCCTGTGGATTGTGACAAAAGCACGGATGATGTAAGCATTTATTTATTTATCTTCAGGTCTGGGGGATTCTCACAGAACAGTGATTATTCTATGTAACATCCACCCATAGCAGTATTGCTGTAAAATGATTAGTTCTATCATTTTACAAAAAACTTGGGACTTGATGGGTTGGAATTAATGGGCCAGATTAAATTAGGAATGTGTATGAGACTCCGAAAGATAAAAATTTAAATTCCCAATTACGTGAATCAATTTCTTTAACAGTTGTACCAGAAGTGATATTGGTTTGCAATAAAGCTGTTTGCAGCTTTAACAGTACAAGATTTAATCCAGCTAATTCCCTGGACGGAGTGTCTGCACAGCTTGTTCTCCCTGTCAGGATGGATTGTTGGGGAAGCTGTGGCTGCCCCATCCCTGGGAGTGTTCCAGGCCAGGTTGGACAGGGCTTGGAGCAACCTGGGATAGTGGAAGGTGTCTCTGCCTGTGGCAGAACAAGATGAACTTTAAGGTCCCTTCCCACCCAAACGGGTCTGGGATGCTATGATTAGGAGTGAGAAAATTTCCTGTTGGATTCTGAGTCCTGGTTGGTGGCTGGGATGTTCTGGGGACCACAGATCCATCCCAGGGGGTGGCTGGTGCTGCAGGCTGGGCTGGGGTGGTCGGTGGTACTTCGTAGAATCCCAGACTGGTTTGGGCTGGAAGGGACCTTAAATCTCACCCAGTTCCACCCCCTGCCAGGGGCAGGGACTTGCAGAGAATTCCCCAGGTCACCTTTGACTGGAACCTGCCAGTCCTGTGGGTGTGTTTGGTGGGAGCTGGTGGGGCAGGACCGAGCCAGACTGCACTGCTGCTCTGTGTGGGGTCTGTAGCTGCTCTCCCACTGTCCCACTGCCACTGCTCATGTTTGCTCCTGTCTCTGCCAGCAGTTCTGCCAGGCCAAGCAGAGGGACATGACCATGGCTGTGCTGCACGAGCTCTACAACTACCTGTCCGTGCAGGCAGGGGAGTTCAGTCACTCAGAACTCCTGGGCGTCCAGGAACTGCCTCTCCCAGCTCCCTGGTGCTTTCTGCCCTCACTTTGGAGAGAGTGGTTTCTGGAACAGTCAGTTCCCTTTGAAGAGCTCTGAGGAAGTCAGGTAATAGGAAAACAGGAAAAGGTGGGGTTATTTTTATTCTGATTAGTGCTCGGCTGGTGCACTCGTATCGCTCTGCCCTGGTGAGTGGGCCTTGTTTGCACTTGACATGCTGGGAATTTGAGGTAGAAATAGTCAGTTTTATGATTCTGCCAACATCTTGAAATTGTCTTCAAGGCACTCAGAGCCATTAAGTGTAAGCTGGTGTGTTTTTACAAACAAAGTAAAAATGGCTTAAGAAATTGTCATTTTCCGCTGAAATGTGGCAGCAGATGTGTGAGTGCCCCTCTCTTCTCTCACCACAGAGGCTCTCTGAGCTGGGTTCAGACAGCTCAGTCTCTACTATATTGAGTAAATCCAGCCCATCACTCGTATTTTGGGATGGAGAAGGCTGCTAGAAATCCAGTGCACAAGTGGAGACTTGTTCAGCAAGATCCATAGCAGTGGTAATCAGTAAAAGTGTTTCAGTTCCATTTTCTGTATTTCAGACCTCAAGGCTGAAGGCTTTGGATATGAAGCTGCACATAATTCCTAAATCTTTTCAAATCTGACTTCGGCAGCTGCCGGATTTCCACCAGATTTACTCAGTCTCTCAGCACATTTGTTTAGTCAACTTGGTGAGGGAAGTTTTAGAGGATTTAGTTCCTCGCCAGCATTTCTGTGCCTGGGTGGAAGGCAGAGCTGTGATTTCGGCTCCTTGGGAGCATTTTGAATGCTGGTCATTAGCTGCACTCTGCAGTCCCTGAGTCCTGGTGGCAGGAGCCCCTCTGCAGGGCACCAGGGCCCAGACATGGCTCTGTGCTCTGCAAGGGGCACAAACAGGATTTCCCCCCTCATTCTGTGTTCAGCAGCTCTGAAGTGTGAGCTTTGATTACCCTTATCCAACAGCAGCTCCAAAGTGTGGTTTGATTGCCCTTATCTAACCTATGTGCAGTGGCTGAGCATTTTATTAATAGTCATAATCTGATCTGCCTGCAGTATAAATCTCACCTTGGAGTCATTCTGCTCAGGGCTGGAGCTGATTGGAAAGGAGAGTATTCTTGGTGTACATTCAGAGTGTAGTTCTGAGCTGTTCAAGGGCTTTTTTCCAAACATTATTTCTATTTGACTTTTTTACCAGGTAATTTTGAATGTGGAAACCCTGAGAATCTAAAAAGCAAATGCATTTGGGTTAGTGAGGCGAAGGACCACGTGATGGTGAGTAGGCTGTGAGCAGCTTTGTTATGACCTAGTGCTTAGTCTCTTATAAGGCAATAAATAATAGACACTAAAGCAATTCACCATCCGTTCTGCTCCCTCATCCTGGTTTGATTCTTTCCCATATCTCTCCCTTCCCCTTTGGCCAGTCCTGTTCTCAGCAGTTCTTTTGAAAATCATTTTCTCCTCCATCTGTGATTCAGCCCCTGTAAATCTTAACTTAATGGTTTGTTGTTTCACCGGAGCCATCAGTCTTGTGAAACCAGAAATTTGGATTGAGGGCTGGGCAGAAGAAGGATTTTTCTATACCCCAAAGTGTCAGGAGACAGAGTGCTCTGATCTAGCATTCCATTTCTTTCCTGGTAAACTGTCAGTAAGATTATGTTGTATTTAGTGGTTAGTCTTAGCAGTCTGGGATGGTGTTATTTCACAGAGTGCTTCATGCATCATCTACCCAGTCAGGAGACTTTAGTCCAGGCAGACCTTCAGGCTTAGTTCCCCTTCCTCCAGTTTGCAGAATTCTGATAAGAATTAACCTGGGGACAGACCATATGGAAGGAATTCTCCCACTCCTGTAATGAAATAATGTTGTTCAGTATTTTAAGTGAATGGAGAACTAATCTTCTTATGGATTCCTTGCACAGAATGTTACTGGTAGCTCCCCACAGAAGTTTGAAGCTGCCCTGCACTGGATACTGAACAGCAACAAGGATTTGGGAATTTGGTAAGTGGAAGCCCAGTGTGTCAAAGTTCCAGTTCTGAGGGTTGGCTGCTGTGTAATTGGACAGGTCTGTGGGTGCCCTTCAGCTTCCAGACCTCGCTGGGCTTCAGCAGGTAATGTGGGATTGGCTGTGGCAGTGCCTGCTGGGCAAACTTCCAGAGGAGAACAACAGCCCTGCAGCAAAATGGCAACTGAGCTCTCCAGGAGTGTGATCCCCAGCCCTGGCTGCAGGACACTGTGTCCAGGGATGTCTTGCTGCCTTGCAGATGAGATGGGAATGGGAGGCCAGGGCTACTTGTGGCATCAGTGGTTGTGTTGTGCCTCCTGTGAGGTTTGGAAATGGTGGTCCTGGTGTCTGCCCATGGTCCTGCCCCTACAGCCCTTCTTAAACTTACCCATGTTGTTACTTTTCCCAGTTTCACAGTTTCAGCTGCAGCATTAGTGGAGCTGCATCCTTGGACCAAAGGGTTCCCTGGCCAGCAAAGCCCTCTGTGCAGTGGGGAATGTCACCCACACTCTGGGATCCTTTGGAGCAATCCCAAGGAGGAGGAGAGGAGAATGGACCTTGAATGGTATCCGGAGTGTCAGTTGTCCCTCTGGCAGAACACCCAGTGCACATTAAATCACAGGATCACTGAGGTTGGAAAAGTCCTCCCAGCCCATGGATCCACCCTGTGACTGTTCCCACCTTGTCCCCCAGCCCAGAGCACTGAGTGCCACAGCCACTCCTTCCCTGGACACCTCCAGGGATGGGCACTCCAAACCTCCCTGGGAGCCCCTTCCAGTGCCTGACAGCCCTTCCATGAGGAAATTCCTCCTGAATGGATTGTCTGACTGACTGTGGCTGGTGGTTGGTCACTGAGGGGGAGTTTCTCAGCCAGCAGTGCTGGGTTTTCAGGGAAAACCCACAACATTCAGTCCATAACCTTAGGAAAGAGTGTTACCAGAGTCTGCAGCCACTGTTACCTTCCTCTGGGAAGTGTGGGCTGCCTCCAGTCTGTGCCAACTCTGAAGTCTAACAGTTGTTTGCATTTCCACGTTGCTAAATATGTCTGTGATTAACTGAATTGCAGCAGTTGGAGTGATGGGGTTGGTGAGCAAACCTTGTAGGAATTCCCATTGCTCTATTTGCTCTTAAATATTCCTGCAGCTGCTGCTGTGATCCAAGGATCAGACAGTGTCTCCTGCTTTGATTACTGGTGTGTGCAATTCCCAGGATGGGACGTGGTTTCCTTAGGGGCAGGTCTGGATTTGTAGGTGGTCTGGGATCCAGAGTTTTCAAATCTATATTTTTATACTCGAGTAGGAGCTGTGGGATACAATATACTCCCACATTTTTATTTCCATAATTAGCAGCTCTGTTGTTCCCCAAATGGATGCACTTCCCTGGAGCCCGTGTGCTGTGCAGGAGTGTGGAACAGCCCCAAACATCTGCCCCTGGCATTTTTTGCTACATGACATTATTTTTTAGGTGCTAGTCTCAGAGGCAGGACTGAAAATGAGCTTTGCACTGGGTGATTCTGCTGCATGTTTTAAATATTTTCATGGAATTTGGATTGTAAATAAGACAAGGGCGGGGGAAACAACTGTGTGTCTCCATCTCCTGTAGAATCCAGAATCAAATCCGAGCTGTCAGCAGTTTGTGAGCTGAGCACTAATGAATTGGGAAAACCTCTGTCTAATGGGTTGTTCAGTGCAGACAGAATTAGGAGCTTCAATAAAATCCCCTTTGGTCCAGTGGCTTTGGATCTGGTGGCTCTCCCCTGGATCCCTGTGAGGGGATGGCAGAGGGAGCTGGGAGCAGGTCAGGGCTCAGGGGAGCAGCAGGGCAGGGCAGGGGGTGGTTGGCAGTGGTGCCCTCCCTGCAGACACAGCTGATGCTCTGTCGCTGTTGTAGCTGAGCTGTTCCTGCTCCCCAGTGCTGAGGAGAGCAGCTCAAGCTCCCTGGCCTCCCCCAGCTCTGGAGCAGTGACTCGGGGACCATTTCCATCTCTGTGCTGGGAGGTGGGAATCCAATTTCGAGTTTAATCTTGTGCACACTGAGAGGGGCTGTCAGAGAGGCTGCAGCGGGAGGCTCCCGAGTGCCGGTGGCAGTTCCAGCCCCGCTGCCTTTCCGCAGCCATATCCAGCCCTTGCTAAGCAGCCAGTCCCGGAATGCCGTGGCAGGAGCAGGAGGGAAATGCTGTGGCAGGAGCAGGAGGGAAATGCTGTGGCAGGAGCAGGAGGCTGTCGGAGCGTTTCCCGTGCGCTGCGCGGGAGGAGTTACCGCATCTGCAGTCTGTTTGTTCTCCCCGCCTTGATTAAAGACTGCAGTTGGAGTCTGCTCTCCTCAGTGAGATTTTCTGCCTCTTCCCACCAGGCTGAAAGGCAGAGACCTGGCGGGGCCTGTTTCCAGCGTGGAGGAAGTGTTCTGCCTGGAATCTGCCCGCCCGCAGATGGGGCTCGGCTGCCGCTTCCGCCGCGCCGTGGTCACGGCCATCACCAACCTGTTCCTCTTCTTCTGGAGTAAGTTGGGAGTGCTCAGCCTCCCCTGCCCGCTGCAGGGACAAGCCCTGTGCACACACACACGTTCCCAGCCATAGGAGATGACTAACAGAGGTGAAATGAATCTGCTGATGAGTTAATGTCTAATTAACCTTTGTTCTGGCAGCACAGGGAGACCCGCAGCACTGCTCTTGTGCTCTGAGTGCTTAAAACGTGCTTTAAATCAGCCAGCTGATTAGCTCTCTGGGTATTCCTCAAGTATCCATTATTATGGGCTGCAAAATAAGTGTGTTAACTTACCTAAAGGAGTCGGTTTTTCTTTTTTCTTGCTCTAAGCCCCAAAGTCTTCCAGCCTCTTTAATAATGACTTGTAGCATTTCAGGGTTGGAGGTTTTATTGGAATAGTGTGTCGTGCCTCAGCTGAGACAGAGGTTTTACCCAGCGAGGTCATAACGAGAGCTGTGTGACTGGAGGAGTTTATAATCCAGCCTGACAGGGAGGGGGAGACAGGGGACAGTTTTGTTCAGTGCAGAGACTGAGATGCTGAATTCTAATGGGGGCACTGTCAGTGCTAAACCTTCCATATAGATCTGAATTTTGGGCTGGCACTGGAGCCCCAGGCTTTATTTCCTTATCAAGCAGCTCTCCTTGGAGCAGTGAAGCCTGACAGTCTTCCAAAGTGATCACTGTGGGGGAGGCCTCTGGCAAAGACTCCTCTGGGACTTGCAGAACTGTGGTTGTGCTGAGGTTTCTTTTGGGGGGGAGCTCCGTGCTGAGGCCTTCCAACCACCTCATCCCACATCCACATGTGCTCTTCTGCTGCAGGGGGTGGTCAGTACCAAGGGATTTTAGGGTGCAGCTGCACTGGGGTACAAAATGAATCACTTGGGTTCAGTTCCAGGCAGGCCTGGGTCACAGGGAGTGAAAGGTGCCTCTGGGGAGAGGCAGTGTCAGAACTAAAACTGCTTCCAGCAATACACAAGTGGCAGTTACTGAATTCTGTTTGCTTTTATTCTCCTAGGTCTGATCACTCTTTGGGGGATCCTGATCTTCCTCAGGTATCGCTGGCGGAAGATGGAGGAAGAGGAACAAGCCATGTATGACATGGTGAAGAAGATCATAGGTAGGAGCTCTGTGAGTTCAAGTAGCCCTGCTCTGCTTCCTGCAGTGTTGAGCTCTCACTGTTCTGTTCTCCTTCCCCCCAGCTGTTGTCCATGACCACTATAAGGAATGGGAACGGAATTTGGAACGTTACCCCTACGTTGGCATCTTCCATGTCCGGGACAGTCTGATTCCTCCTCAGAGCAGGTGAGCTGGATCTGGGCCCTCGGGAGGGCTGGGATGGGATTCAGCACAGCTCTGAAGTGCAGCTGAGTGCTGGGAGCTGCATTGCAGGAGGAGGCTGGAGCCTTTGGGTCGGGAAAGGGTTGGACACAACTGAGGCTGTGCCTGAACCTGGTGCAGATCGAAGGGACAGTCCCAGGGCTGGTGCTCTGTGCAGTCCCACAGGTGTGTTGTCGTTGCTCTGTCCAGCAGCACTTGGATTTGGTTTGTTTGGACATGGAGCATCAGCTGTTGAACCGGTCCCTGGGTGTGAGGTGTCCAGAATAACTGGATCCCAAACGGGAGATCCTCAGAGTGTCCCCTTGGTGAGATCCCTCCTGCAGGAAGGGGGAGGGCAGTTTGCTCACTGAGCCCCTTTGCAATATGAACTGAGCCTGAAATCCACTGTCACTGACAGAGGGTCTCACCTTCCCTCCAGGCAGGACCTGTGTGTCCATGCCCTGCTCTGAAATCTCCTCAAAACCAGGATTCTGGTTGGATTCCTTCCCTGCCTGCACAGGGAGCGGGAGACAGCCAGTGGTGCCTGGATCCACGGCCACAGTTGCTGTAGGCAGGGAAGCACAGTGAGGTTGTGATTCTAATTTACTTCCTTTTCCTTGCTGTTTCTTGCAGAAAGAAGATGAAGCGGGTGTGGGAGAGAGCCGTGGATTTCCTGGCCTCCAACGAGTCCCGCATCCAGACAGAGTCCCACAGGGTGGCCGGGGAGGACATGCTGGTGTGGAGATGGACTCAGCCCTCGTACCTCTCGGACTCGGAGCACTGAGGAGGAGCAGGAGTGGAGCAGCTGTGGATGTGGATGTGGACATGGACCTCTGCAAGGGGACAGGCCCCTCGCTGGTGGTGGGGGGAGCAGGGCCCGAGGGTTGGGGTTGCACGTGTCTGTTTGCTCTTCTTTCTGAAAATCCTCACACACGCAAATTCAGGGCAATAATGTTGGCTTGGAAAGAAGATGGGCTTGAGCTGGTGGGAAGCTGGAATTGCACCAAAGTGAGCCTTCCACAGAGACCTGGCTCCCGTGGCAAGCGAGCAACGACTTACAAAGAGTAAAAGCACAGCTGCTCTCGAGGGCTGGGGCGTCTCTGCCAGAGCCCGGGGGTGCAAAATTTGACCTCAATTCTGCAAAGGCCAACTGGTGGCAGTGTCCACCAGGCAACGTGCTTAAAGATGACATTTCCCATGGAAACATTAGGGTGGCAGTTCAGGTGTGTTTTGTTAGAATCTGTTTTAGTCAGGACAGAGAGGGATGAAAGCACTCGCTGCTTCCCAGCGAGGAAGATGTGTTGGCTTCACCCTTCCAAAGTGGGGCAGAGGGGGAATGGAGTGAAGCTGGGCCTGGAGGAGGGAGGCAGCCTCACGTGCCTTGGTGGTTTGGGCTGGGCTGGGGGGATGGAGAGAGGTTGTGACCCTGTTACACTTTTAAGTCTGCAGTCTGTGTGCTTTATGATTTTAAGGGGGTGGGGGGAATTTGGGTGGAAAAATAAAGGATATGGGAAGCTTCCAAAGGCGCTTTGCTGGGGCTGCAGCCACGGGGATTGGTCTGTGGCTATTAAAGGGCAGCTTTGGGAGGGCTTTGAGGACTGAGTGTTCATGTTTATGCTGGGCAGCTGCAATGTCTGTGCTTGTGCTGGAGCAGGGATGTGCCAGCACAGGGATTGCAGGGTTCCTGCAGCCCCTGCGGGTCCTGGGAGCAGCTCCCGGCCCTGCTCCGTGTCTTGTGTCTGTAATCACTTGGTTACTTCAGCTGCTTTTCGTGTCCAGCAAACGAGTGTTTGTTTCCAAGGAAATGGCACCAGTGTGTGGCAGTTTGGGCTCAGCAGAGATGTGGCTGCTCTGCTCTTCCCAGGGCTGTGCAACAGCTCGTGGGGCTGCAGGGACCAAACCCATCGCTGGCATCAGGCAGGAGAACTGCAGAGTGAAGCCAGTGTTGATTTGAGCCCTGTGTCCTGTGGATGTTGTCCCTGGGGAGAACATCCCGAGGCTGGATGAGCTCTGGGCGGGCTGGGGCAGCCACAGCCCTGCTCCCTCCTGGGCAGGGGATGCCACGTCCCTGCTCCTTGTGCCAGTCCCTGCTCCCCTGGCAGGGTCTGCAGCTCTCCCCACACCTCCCTGGGTGGGGAGTCTGCCTGGCACCCCTGGGCTGCTGGGGATCCACAGGGATCTCCTGCTCCTGGACATCCCCCGGAATGGGTGGAGGGAGTGGGTTCCTCCAGGAACAAAACACAGGGAGGTCTTTCCCATTAAATGGGGAATATCCTGTGTGGAGCTGACTGTTACCCCATATTTTTGGTTGTGAAAGTTGGGTGTTTGGGCAGGAGACTCAACAGCTCTTCAGGGGAAGGATCAGCTCCTCCCACTGTAATAAATAGGGAATAAAATGAAAGCAGCCTTGATTCTCCCAAAATGTAACCAGATTGTCACTGCTGCCATACAAATTCTCTCAAACACTGGTGCCTACATTCTTAAACCTTTTTAAACTCTTTGTGGGGCTTGGGTGAGCTTTTTTAACCGTCCAGAAGCGCAGAGTGAGGCGTTGCCGTCATCCTTTTGTATTAAACCTGGTTTTGTAGAACAAACTTCAATGGCTTGGTGCTGTTTATATGTTCCATTTAGCTCTGTAAATCGATATAAAAAATAAATTTATTACAAATAATTGTTACCTTTATTTTTAATGGAGAAATCACAGACTGTTCCAGGTGGTTTTGCTCAGATCAGGTGGATCTGCCCCGGGGAGCTCCATTTCCCAGAAGCTGCTGCTGATCCTGTGCCTTGGAGCACCCTCAGGCCATGGTGAGCTCAGTGCACTTTTGGGACATGTGCCAGGTGATGGTATAGGAAGACTGGGAAGTGATGAGGGAAGTAATGAGGATGGAGTGGGATGGATGTCCCTGCCCTGCTCTGAGGCTGTTGCACATAAGCACATCTTGATGGTAAACCAGGTTGTCTTCAGGGCTCATTTTCCTTGAGTGTTTCAATCCTTCCCTCACCCGAGTGTTGGTGGAACATCTCCTGCCAGTTCCAGCTTCTCCCAGGTCCCCTGAAGTGGCAGGAGTGGTCCCTCAGTCACTGTTGTGTAACATGGTTGGCTCATGTTTGGTTAAAGGAATGTTTAATTGATCTCATCCTGTGGGTCTGAGTGACAAAGGGGGGGATTTCCAGCAGCACAGGAGGGTGGCTCTGTGGCTGTCAGGAGCTGCCTCCTCTGGCAGAGTCGTGTCTAAGGTTTGGGAACAGAAAAGGCTGCATGGCTGCATCTCCTCAGGACCCGCATTCCTGTCGGGATGCTCTTACCCAGCTGAGGTTGCTAAGTTACAACTGCAATATATTCAGGGTTAGGAAATGGTCCTGTTTGGTGTAATTCCACATGCAATTCCCAACCTGCTGCCGTTTGCTGCAAAGCCCCCATGGCAGCCCCGGGGCCCCAGGCCTGGGCAGGGGTTTGCTGAAGTCCTCAAGGTCCTGTTGGGGACTGGTCTGGGACTGGGGGTGGGAGTGGGCACATCCCCTCCTTGTCCCAGGCACTGCCCAGGTTGTGTTTGCCTTGTGATCCCCTAAATAACACGTGGGTCCCTCTCCTTGGGGTGCAGGGGCTGGCACAGGCTGGCACAGCATGTCCAGAGCCTGCCCTGGGCACACACTGGAGAGGACACCGGGCTGGGGGCACACGCTGTCCTTGCCTGGCTGCAGGAGACAGCCTGGCCCTGGCAGGAAGTTCCCTGGGATTTTTCCATTCCCACACTGCTCTCATGTCTCTAGATCCTCTCACCTGCTGCCCAGCTTTGGGCAAACCCTCCTCTCACCCTGGGCATTGCTCCCCTTGCCATAAATACCACAGAGATGGGTGATTTGGTGTCCCACAGCACCCCAGCCCCTCACCACCCCATTCCTGGCTCGCAGCCCCTGGGTCTCTCCTCCCGTCTCCCTGGTGTGTTTTCCCACCCAGCAGGTGGGTTTGGGAGCTCTGGGAAGCTCTGGATATCCATCCCTTGCCCAGCCCCAGCCGCTCTGCAGGGAGGTGGTAAACACAGGGGGGGGCCAGTGGAGAACAGCCTGGCCCAAAGGGCCAGTTGCTTTCCTGGAGAGCCGATTGCCCAAGAGGCTGGAGCGTGGCCTTGCTGGAAGGCCGAGCACAGGCAGGTCCCAAGCCCTGGCCTGGGCTGATCCCTGTCCCACGCAGGGTTTCTCCCGGGCACGGCTCAGCTGTCAGCTGGACATTCCGGGCTCCTGCCAGCGCCGCCGCACTCGGCCGTGCCCAACCCTTCCCTCATTCCTTGCCCAACCCTTCCCTCATTCCTTGCCCTGGAGGCACAGCGAGGAGCAGGAGAGAGCAGCACCAGCAGCACCCCGAGGTGCCCCCCAGGGAGGTGTCTCACCTGCACACACAGGTGAGAGCCAGGGCAGGGCAGGGGCAGGAGGGGCAGCGTGAACATGACTTTGGAGGGTGGGCAGGATGTTATTAGGAAGGCTCCAAGCATGGCCCTGGCTGGTGGGAAGGGACGGGAGCAGCAGGGACATCTGGCACTGGGGGGGTGCTGGGAACCTCTGGAGCAGCCCAGGGGCTGCAGACATGGGCCTGGGGGCTCCTGGTTCTCCATCGTGCTCGTGGCACCACCAGAAGGCACCAGGCTGGGCAGGAGGGGCTGGTGGTGCTGGGCGGTGTGGAGGGGAAATTGGGCAGGGGGGTGACGGGACCTGTGCCCGTTTCTGTGCTGGGTGGTGGCACCATGTCCCCTCTCTGGGTGGTGGCACCGTGTCCCCTCTCTGGGTGGTGGCACCATGTCCCAGCTCTGGGTGGTGGCACCGTGTCCCCTCTCTGGGTGGTGGCACTGTGTCCCCTCTCTGGGTGGTGGCACCGTGTCCCCTCTCTGGGTGCTCGGTGCAGGGCTGGCCTGGGCTCCAGGGTAGCTCCAGTACTGAGAGCTGTGGACACAAAGAGCTCATTCTTGCCTTGCCTGTTAATGAGGCACAAAAAGAACCTGCAGCCCCTGCAGTGCTCAAACTCTGCAGAGGAGCTTTGGGATGCTCTGGGGAGCCAGGTCCCAGAGGGGAAGGTGACCACGAGGTGCAGCACTAAGAGCATGGTTCTGTGCACAGAACTCTTGTTCTTGAAGTGATTTTAATATTCCTGAGGATTTCTGCCACGAGGACCCAGCTGGTTTCCAGGCGAGGGGTCTCTCCCAGGGCCAGGCTGGCTGCGTTTTGCTCCTGAACTTGGAGCCACATGAGTTCCTTTTGGGATGGTCTGGAGTAGGTGCTAATTAAAGATTAGAGAATTTAATCTGCTTGGGGTTTTTCGGCTGGATTTGGAGTTGGGAGTAAATAACCTGCTTAGCTCAGACTCTTCTGATGTTTGGCCCTGAGTGAGAGCAGGGTGTAAAGTGAAGTACCTGGGGAGCAGAGGTGTCCCCAACAGCCTGGGCTTGTACCCAGGCAGAGCTCATCCAGGTCCAGCCCCTTCCATGGGCAGGGACACCTTCCATGGACCAGGTTGCTCCAAGCCCCATCTCTTTTCTGGAGAAATATTCTCTCTATTCTCCTTCCCCAATACTTTCTGCCTCTCCTCCACCTGCAGCACCTGGGTTGCTTTTCCTTTAGCTCAAGGAAAAATCCTGAAGGCTTCTGGTTTGCTTGGAGGACACAGATTTATCTGTAATTCCGTGTATTTTTAGTGACGTAAATATCTCTTGGCATTTGCGATACCTTGAGCCAGTGGAAGTGATTTATTTCAAGTGTCTTGTTTCAGGGGAGCTCAGAGCAGCTCAGTGTTTGTGGGAACATTTATCTGCTCCGAATGGATGAGCTGCTTCCGAATAGAAACTCCCTGAAAAGAACCTCCTTCTCCTCCTGCAAATCCTGCTCCCAGTTTTGCCTGGGAGAAAACATTCAGAGCTTTATCAAAGTGTGGGTGTTTTTCCCCAACTCCCTTCGGAATGCCAAGGTTGCCAGAGCTGTCAGGGGGTTGTGACAGCCGAGTTTCAGCCTTGGACCAATGTCTCTGAAGCAATAAAGGATTTAAGTCATGTTGTGCTCTGCTCCAAAGAGGTGTTATGACAAATCCGTTTGCTTTTGGCTTTTCTCCTTATTTTTGAGGAAGGGAAGAGGGGGAAAAAACCCACACAAAACAAACCACAACAAACCTGCAGGTCTCGAGGCAGAAAATCCTCTTTAAAAATTGTCACAACTTAACAAAATGCCAAATGCTTTTATTAACTCCTGGAAAGGCTCCAAAGAGCCTCTTTCTTCCTGGCTGGAAACTGCTTGGCTGGGGCCTGGCTTTGTTCCCCTGGGTAAGGTAATTGCAGAGCAGGAACTCCTCCCCAAAGAATGGAATAGTGGGGGGGAAAAAATCCCACCTTGGGGGAGATAAAGGAGCTGCTCGTGGGTTTGGAGGTAGGAGTGGTTGTTCTCCCCCTCCTCTGCCTTCAGCCCACTCCATCCCAGCTCTCCAGGTGCAAAACAAACCTGGCACCTGCACCAGGTGCTTGTTTGCTCGGGGTTGACCACAGCAGGAGGGGAAGGGGAGATTCAGGCAGCAGAGATCACAGAATACCACAGAGGTGGAAAGCACCCACAGGGATCATCGAGTCCTGAGCTTTGCCTCCTGCTGTGGGATGGGGAATACTCTGTGTGTCATTGGATCCAGCTCCTGGGTCAGGCTGTACCTGCTGGCTCTGGGGAAGGGCTGAGCTGCCCTCCTGGCAGAGCCCTGGGAGCTGCTGCCCATGATGGGAAGCTGCAGGTCCCTCCAGGAGTGCCACCAGCCCTCTGCTGTTCCTGTCTCCTGGGTGAGGAGGGGGTGATGGTGCTGCCCTGGTCACATCTGTCCTGTGGGGTTGGCAGAGGTGGTGTTGCTCACCTGGCAACACATCTTGGAGGCTTTCCTGGACAGAAATGGATTTCCAAAGATGTTATTATCCACTGCACTGGGGTTTTGCTGGCAAAACCAGGATGCAAATCATTTTAAGTTTCTTGATAATTCCCTTCTGTCTCTTTTGCCCCCAACAGACCTAAAGTGGGTGTTTTCTGGACTCTGTGTTTCAGGCTGGGGCTCCCTGCCAGCCCCTGGGCACTGAGATCTCATCCCACCCGCCTTCGCCCTTGGTACCTGGCTCTGGCTTTGCAGTGGCTCGTCCCCCCTTCTCCCTCCCATTCCTGGCTCTGGCTTTGCAGTGGCTCGTCCCCCCTTCTCACTCCAATTCCTGGCTCTGACTTTGCAGTGGCTCGTCCCCCCTTCTCACTCCAATTCCTGGCTCTGGCTTCGCAGTGGCTCGTCCCCCCTTCTCCCTCCATGCCCTGATTCCCTCTGTTCCGCAGGTCCCGGCGGTGTCAGCCGGTGTGGGTGCGGATCCAGCGCGGGTGAGGAGGCTGCACAGCCCGGGCTCGGGCTCCCACCGTCCCGTGCTGCTGCCGAGGGGGATCCAGCGCCCCGCCAGCCCCCAGCCCATGGTGGGCCAGAGCCCCCTGAGCCCGGAGCTCCTGGCCGTGCCCCTGGAGCCCTTCGTGCACCAGGTGGGAGGGCACACGAGCATGCTGCGCTACGACGAGCACACCGTCTGCAAGCCGCTCGTGTCGCAGGAGCTCAGCTTCTACGAGTCGCTGCCCTGGGCCATGCGGCAGTTCACGCCCCAGTACAAAGGTAAGGGACGTTCAGAC